TAGTCATACCACCTAATTCAACTAGTTTATACATATTCCTGAAAAATAGGAACATTTGTTTGAAACCCACAAAGTGAACCAGAAAATTCCAATCATCTCTTCTGCATGGTCTGCCTTTGTGTGTACTTTCAACATGAATTATCAAACTAGTAATTTGTCAGTATGGAACTTAAATTATTAATATGTGAATACAGTAGGCTATATTTCATACAAACTCTCACCACTGCTGATAAATTATTGCTAATTATCCAAGAACTTTAAAGAGCATGAGGATTTTAAAGTCATTAAAAGGGAAGCTTTCAGGCAGAGGCTGGATGACTATCTGTCAGGTAAAGTTTCCTGCACTGGATGAGGGAAAAGGTGGCAGGGAATGGACCTGGTGATTTTTCCAGTCTCTTCTACTACAGGGTATATGTATTACATGATGTAGCACAGCCACTGAATTATAGGTATAGAATTTTCAAGAAACACAATATGGTGGTCCTATGCACAATTATGTTAGGTACATAAATAGCCCAGAAATGAGTATACCACATTTAATTTTTAATTTATCTCAGTCAAATGATTTACTGATTTCCATATTACAAAATGTTTTGAAATTATACAGAACATAACTTATGGTCTCTAGACGCTGACATTTTAAGATATCAGGACATACAAATCATATTATGCTAATGTGCAACAAATTTACCACTACCCATGTGAATGATGACATGGCAGTTATGTGTATAAAGTAAAATTACAAAGAGGGTTCAAATTACTTTAGTCTGGCTTTGAAATATATGGTGAACTTTCATGAGGCTCATTTATTGATAATAAGTGCTACCCTAAGCACTTTACATCTATTATCTATTTTACTCCGCACAACAACCCTGTGATGGAGGTTCTGAGGCTAGAGAGATGCAGCCACTTGCTGAAGGTCACTCAGTTAATAAGCAGCAGAGCAAAGACATGAACCTGTCTTGGTGACTTTCTGACTCCAGACCCTCTCATCTAACACTCATGACATGGCTTCCTTTTTGCTTCCTTGTTTTCTTACTTGTAGGCAACATTAAAATTACTTTGGTTGCTGCAGTTTATGCTATTGAACATGGGAGAAGGTTTTCTGAAGTCTGCTTGACTGACCAAGGAAAACTAATTTGAGTTTTAAAATGTGAAGTGAATGAGGTTGGCAGAGCTCTGAGAAATTAGGTATGCATACTGCTACCACTGTAAATGGGCTCAATATTTCAAAAAGCTATCTATAACATGGAATGAGAGCTATAAAACTTTTCTTGCCCTTTGACTCATTAATTTCAGTCTTTGGAATATACCCTCAAGGAAATAACACAAAAGAAAAAGGTAATTTGTTCAAGATGTTCACTCAGGGGCTATTTGTATTAGTGAAACACAGGGGGGAAAAAATCCAAATTCTCACTAATAGGACAGTGACTAAGCAAACGAGGCTCTGTAGAAAAAGAAAATAAGAAAATTTTATGATCTCCCAAAATGACAAATGTAGAATATATCCGTATGTGGACACATATGTAAGAAATACCTGGGTTAAAACGTAGAATGCAAATTACTACATATAAGCATAACCTTGTACAACCAAGTAAAACAGTATCTGCATTAATAAGGCAAGAGATTCATGAACTTATAAAGAAATATATCCCCCTTTTAATTGGAGAAATCCCAACATGGGAGGAGCATCTGGCGTATAGATTGTGTTTAATAAAAATTTGTCTTTAAATGAGAAAAACAGAGGTTATTTATTCAGATCGTGCTATAACAAGGAAGACAGCCACCATTGCTTGCATTTGGAACACTCAAAGGGGAGTGCACAAGTTTTATGCTGAAAAAAATAGAAGACTTTAGGTATGTTCTGAGTGGAGGTTGTTGGCATGGGAAAGCTGAAGGCAGGTAACCAGAAGCACGACATCAGTGGCTCTGAGTTGTAAGTATGCAGGGGTGGAGGGCATGATAAGAGCAAAAAAATAGGGAAGGTGGCAGTCATTGACCAAATCCTGGCTGCGCTAGGCTGATTGCTACAGAGACTGTGATTTGGCCTTCTAAGCTGCTTGCTGAAGAGAATGTGGGTCTATCGTTATGCGTGGACTGGTCATTGTCCCTTTGTATATCCAATATCTCATACAGAATACCAGTTTATTGTAAAAGGTTGTAACTCAGAAACAACCAGATGAAGAGATACATAGGGCGAGGTATAGGGGAAGAGGTGCAGAGCTTCTGATCCTTCTCTGGGTGTGCCACCCTCCCAGCACCACCCTTCAGCAACCTGGGAGGTCCACTTAATATGAATGTATAGACTTAAATTAGACAAAGGTAATTTTTAAACTGAGACCTGACTGAGATACACATGATACCTCACATGTATTCATGTGCTGTCAGGAAAAGCTAAACAATCGCTCATGAGAACTACTAAGTCCTAAGTTTTCTTCCAAGTGCTTTCCCCGGATTCTCTCATTTAATCTCCTTACAGCCCTGTGAGATAAGTGTTACTATCACCCCTCTTCTAAGAGGAGAATATTGTGGCTCAGGGAAGGTAAGTAACTTGCCCAAGGTTATCAGGCCATGGCAGAGATGTAATTTCAACCCAAATAGACTCACCATATGGCCAGTACAGCCATTATACTTTGCTGTCTTCCCTTATTTGGAAGAAATACTTTCCCGTGAATCACTTCTAGATTTGGTTTCCTGCTTTTCTCCTTCACCTTTTCCGTTTGGTTTACAATATATAGGATCCTTTCAGGAAATAACAATAACCATATCCAGAAGTTGTTGAGATAAAATACTCTCCAGCCGGTGCCAGCTGCATGAACACAATCTACCTGCACAAACTCTCAGGACTTCTTACAAGAAGCAAAACTAGAGTAGGGTTTTCAAGTCAGGTGTGGGAATTGTAGAGACTGGAAGATAAAATGCCACTGTGGCACAAGGGATAACTACAGAAGAGAAAAACATATCATTTCAAGCCAGAAAATACTCAGATAAGGTTGAATCTAAGAAAAAAGTTGCTTGGGGATAAGTGACAAATTAAGAAGAATATTTTAAAACTCACAGGGAAAATGTTAGTTTAATTATTTTAAAAAATTGTATTTTACACTTGCCTAGTTTCTTGAGTTTTGCAAAATATTTCTCATTGATGATCGTATTTAATTCTCTGGCTATAGAGTGGTGAATAGTATAGTTGACAGATGAGAAAACTTCAGGTCAGAGATAAGTGTGAGCTGTGTATCCAAGCAGCTGCCTGTCATTAGCTGAGCTGGGACTCAGTCCCAGGCTCTCATTCTTAATAGAAGTAAACATTGATGCTGCTCAAGAAAGGTACAAAGTCCTGTGCAGATCTTCCCTTTAAATTATTCACAGGTCATGAAGCTCTATCTCACAGGTATAAGTCCATTAGCAAAAGTTCAGAAAACAAATCTAACATAAATGGAATCAAAGATAAGAACTAAATATATAATGAGTTCCTTTTAAATGAATGCAGCAGAGCAAAGGCAGGACTACCATCTGTGTAAAAACTAAACTGTTCGGGGGATGGCATGGGTATGTAGTGGTTATGTTTGGAAAGACGCAAAACCCAAATCCTTCTATCTAAATCTGTATAAGAGGCACATCATCTCCGTACTCTGCCATCTATGATGGCACAAAATGAAATTTCTGCTTTATCTTACATTCCATGGAAATATCTTTATTGTGAATGAAGTGGCCTACATTTATATTCACTTCTAAACAATGTCCTCTCCTTCTCATCTGATTCTGTCTGATGGAGGCCTATTTTTGCTTCAGAGGACAGATCAAATACTGCCTCTTCCAGGAAGCCTCTTCAGATCCAAGTGAGAACAAGCCTCTCTTTCCTAGGCGCCCCCAGCCTGTCTGAGAACAACTTGCTGATGATTCTTGTCTCCTGCCTTGTGTAGCTCCTGGATGACATAACATGATTGGGATTTATCTTTGTGCCTCCTATGATCCCAATACAAGTGCCTCGTATGCCATAGCAGTTTACTTCATTGTAAGAAATCTTTTGCGGTCCTATCATGCTCTATGAATTCATAAACCTTTACAGAGAGTTGGGCCATCTCAATTCCACTATAAAAATGACCTAAATCAAGGACTCTCTTCACTTAAAAACCTTCTTGTTTCCTTACAATCATATTTCATGTCGACCTTCTGTACCAGAACATTTGTATTAATTTAATGCATTTGTAATTAGCATTGGCAAATAACAAACCCACATCCAGAAGGTTAAATTATAAAGTGTTTTTTAATTAAATAGGAATATGAGAGTCATCAAACTTAAACAAACTAATTTGAGATTTGCTTTTATCACAAATTTTATAAATATTCAACCAGATTTTATTCAATATAAAGGTAGAAGCTTCAAAGCCAGAACCTCAGTTCTTTGAGGACTCTCTCTTTTAATATAAGCTGATAAATAAACTACTAGTGAAAGAACTTAAAATTTCAGAGCAAAAAGTACACTACTTCCACCAAGGTCAATTACTCTTCAGGGACAAAAGTAATGTTCTTTTTATTAGCAATTTGGAATAACAATTAAGTAACATTCGTTTTTATTGGGATTTTTATATAAGAACTGAGAAAACAATTCTTCACTGTAGTTATAAAAATATAGGAGAAAGTGCTGAGTTTCTGAAACACAGCAATCTTCCTATATTTTCTATCTTCCCTTAGGCCATGTGTGGTGGTGTGATCCTTATCTTACTTATAAGGAAGATAAAGACCAGGGAACAACAACAATACCACCGAGGCTTATAATGAAAAGCAAGCTACAAAAAAGATGAAATAATTATTTTCAATTTTACCACATTCTATGAAATATCGAAAAACTCCCATTTCATTTTGTATACCATGAGAAAAAGCTCTTTGATCCATGAACGGGCTAATCCAACAGCTATTCACATAATTCTTGTCTTTTAAAGGAGAATAGCAATCAATGACCAAGAAAGAAAGTACAATTCACAAAAGGTATGAAATCTTACTTTTTCATCATCTTCAGTAAATGGAGCTCCTTCAGGAATCTTATTTATCGCTTGGGCCACACCAATAATCTCACCATCACTGCTTCGGATAGGCATGCACAATAATGATTTCGTCTTGTATCCAGTTAGCTTGTCGATTTCATCATTGAATCGTCGATCCTAAAAATAAGACAAAGAAAGCATTAACTGCCTGTGCATTATTGTCAGGGAGAAGGAGAGAGAGGTTTATTTCTGCATATGATACCTTATCACTGGGAACTTAGCCCCATGGATTTTTAATCAAAATAACAGATTAGACTTCATTTTTAATTCACCAAAGGAATATAAATCAAAATAAGTCAACACCATAGTTGTTTGCCATAGTAAATGAAGACAGAGACTTTAAGCCCAACTGCAACGTATCAAAATTGGGGAAAAGTGTTTTTAAGGAAAGCCTATAGTATGCGATTTATGAAAATGTGTTATTTTAAAAAGACAGGATATGAAATGTCATATAAGAAACTTACATGAGAAATATATACTAAACACTGTGAAAAATTGTTCAAAATAGAACTACTTTATTTCTAGTCAAAATGATTCTGTGAAAAAAGAATCTATGAGTACATAATGATATTTCAAAATCCTCCCCAAAAGATATGGGGTATGGGGAGATAAAAATTTTCTCTATAGAATGCCAGCTAAAATATATAAAATAAATGATAAAATTATACAGTATGTATTTTGCAACTACCAATATAATTATGTTTACAAGCAAGGGTCATTAAGTATGCTAATACCATTGGGTGAAAAACTGTTTAACTTAAACAGTATAGTCATACAGTCTCAAGGTGCCACACCCAAAGATTCCTTATTACAAAGGTAAAAGGTGTCTTTGTAGTGAATAAATCTGGTGAACACCACCTCAAACAAGTAAACTTAGCATCACTGTTAAGAAGAAAAGTTAACACCATGTGCCTCTTGATATAATGCAACAGGAAGGACACAACATCACCAAGAATACAATCAAATGTGTAACGTGAATCTAATTATTCAGGAAATGAAAATTAAGAAAGGTAGAGATCATCAGTCATTCTATCAGAAACCTAACCCTGGATGCTTAAAAAATGTCAAGATCATGAGAGACAAAAAAAAGTTTTTTAAAAAAATAAATATAAAGTTAAACTATGGGAGCTATACCAGTTTAACGAAGACTTAAGAGACCCGAAATCCAAATAAAATATGTGATCCTTTGCCAGAAATTTCGAAAATTCCACAAAGGACATTTTTGGAGGGACAATTGGAGAAAGTTCAGTCATATAATGGTATCATTATAAACTTGCTTAGGTATTATACAAGTGTTATAATTATGCAGAAGAATGTCCTTATTCTTAGGATATACATGCTAGAGTATTTGGTTAGTGAAATATCATAATACCTTCAACTAACTTTCAAGGAAGGAAGGAATGGATGGAAGGAGGGAGAGAAAGAAGGGAAGCAGAGAGATAAAGGAGGGTGGAAGGAAAAAAAGAAAAAGATTGGCTCCCGAGAAGGTAACTGTGACTAAAAATGCTCCAAGGTAGATGATAAACTATTATCCAATCTGATGATAAACTATTTCAAGCCAGGGGTTGGAGTGAGGCTTCTTCCTGTACCTTCTGCACACCCATGTTAAAAGAGGCTTAAAAGCACTGCTGCCTATGCTATGCTATTCTCGCTCTGTCACCCAGGCTGGAATGCAGTCATTTGATCTCAGCTCACTGCAACCTCCACCTCCCAGGTTCAAGCGATTCTCCTGCCTCAGCCTCCCAAGTAGCTGGGACTACAGATGCAAGCCACCATGCCTGGCAAATTTTTTTTTTTTTTTTTTTTGTATTTTAGTAGAGATGGGGTTTCACCATATTGGCAAGGTGGTCTTGAACTCCTGACTGCAGGTGATCCATTAGCCTTGGCCTCCCAAAGTGTTGGGAGCCACAGTGCCTGGCCAGGAGTCTTTAAATGCCATTATGAGGCCTGGTTCTGGTCTGGTGATCCATGAAGGCCACCCTAAACCCCAGAGACAGGAGGGTCCAGTTAGAGAGAGGGAAATCAAAACCCAAACAAAACCAAATCTCCTGCTCAAAATAAGTATGTGACCAAACTTTCAGAAAATTAGCAATCTGTATTCATTATTTTTAAATTTCTCTGAGGAACTACTACATGTCAGGCTATGGGCTAGGTGGAAGTTGCAATCAAGTAGGTGAGTCAGACAATGTATAAATGTATATTTATATATTGTGGTAAGTGTTACTGAGAAAAAAGCAAAATGCATGAGAGAGACTGAATATGAAGGACCTATTTTTAAGGGGATCAAGGAAGTTCTCTCTGAAAACAGAACAAATAAGCTGAGACTTCAATCATGAGTAAGAATTTTCCAGGCAAAGAGTGGTGGAAAGAACTTTCCAGGAAGATGAACTAATACATATAAGGTCCTGAAGCAGGAAAAAGCTTAGTAAGTTCCAAAAAGTCAAAGGTCAATGTGGCTAGAGTGTAGGGAGACAAAGGGAGAGTGAAAGAGGGAGGCAGTGACCAAAGGGTGCCAAGTCTCACAGGCCTAGAAAGAGTTATATTTAATCCCAAATGCAATGGAAAACCTCTGAAGATCTTGAAGCAGAAGAATGGCATTGGCCACTATTTAGCACTTAGATTCTCTGCAATTATCTTACCAGTTTACTTGTTCTCCCCGCAACTAAAATATAAAATCTAAGACAGCAGAGATTTTGTCTCTATTTACTGCGTCATCCTAGCATGCCTATTATACATGCTCAATAATATTTTTTAAATAATTTATTCTTTTGAAAAGATTGCACTGCAATTATGCAGAATATAGAAAAGGTCCTAAGGGTCCACATACCACTACTTGGCATATATGTAGAAGCACTTTTCCGAATATATAGAAAAGAGGTACACAAATGTTCACTGCAACATCAATTATGAAAATTAAAAATGTGAAGCCATTTGAATGTTGATCAAGAGAAAAATAAATTATGATCTTGTGGTTTGGTAGTGTATTATACAACAATTTAAATGAATAAATTAAAGCTGCCTGTATCAACATGAACAAATATAAGAAACACAATGTTAAGTGAAACAAACAAACAACAGTCTGATACCATCTATATAATACCACAATACTTAAAAATATACTAAATATCATTTATGGATTCAAATATGTAGCAAAAGTATAAAAGCATGCGAGGGAATAATAAACATTACATTTATATTAGTGGTTACCCGCTGAGAGGAAGGAAGGAAGTGGCATCAGGGAGAGGCATAGAGGAGGCTTCAACTAGAACAAGAAAGCTTTACTTCTTTAGAAAAACAATTCGGGGGGCCAGGTGCGGTGGATCACGCCTGTGATCTCAGCATGTTGAGAGGCTGAGGCAAGTGGATCACAAGGTCAGGAGTTCGAGACCAGCCTGGCTAGCATGGTGAAACTCTGTCTCTACTAAAAATACAAAAAATTAGCTGGGCATGGTGCCAGGTGCCTGTAGTTCCAGCTACTCAGGAGGCTGAGGCAGGAGAATTGCTTGAACCCAGGAGGCGGAGGTTGCAGTGAGCCAAGATCACACCACTTCACTCCAGCCTGGGCGAGTGAGACTCCGTCTCAAGAAAAAGAAAGAAAGAAAAACAATTCACGAGCAAGGTGGTGGTTCTCTGAAGGTTTAGTTAATCTGTGGCACACAAGGAAGCTGATCTCTGTTGCTTTGAACCCCACTGGTCAGACCTGCCATGTCTCAGCACATCCCTACGGCCGACCTACCCCAGGATAGTGTGGAGCACAGCACGTTCACCTGCCACCCAGCCGCCATTCTGTTCTCAAGGCTGCATCTATCCACTGGACTGGTGATGGGGTTGTCAGTGTTTAGCTCCAGTGTTTACCTCCTGCTTCCAGCTGCTGTTTTGAATCCTTGCTCTGCGATGGACTACTCCCTGGCTACAGCCCTCACTCTCCTTAGTCACTGGGACCTTGAACAAGTTGTTTCAGACTATGTCTATGAAGACGCATCAGAGAAAGCTGCCAAGGCAGGCCTTTTGGCACACTTGACTTTAACTTGGCACACTTGACTTTAACCTTTGCCGGGCTTTGTGATTTCAACTATCATGATGGGGGCATCTGCAAAGCTGTTGCCATGCTGTGGAAGCACTGACCTTTTAGACTTAACACCTTAAAAAGTAATTCTTAACACCTTAAAAAGTACTTCTCTTTGCCTCTGCTCTGCCATGCCATTCTACTAACAATAAAAAGGAAGTACGGTGGCTCACGCCTGTAATCCCAGCACTTTGGGAGGCCGAGACGGGTGGATCATGAGGTCAGGAGATCGAGACTATCCTGGCTAACACAGTGAAACTGCGTCTCTACTAAAAATAGAAAAAAATTAGCCAGGCGTGTGGTGAGCGCCTGTAATCCCAGCTGCTCAAGGAGGCTGAGGCGGGAGAATGGCGTGAACCCAGGAGGTGGAGCTTGCAGTGAGCTGAGATAGTGCCACTGCACTCCAGCCTGGGCGACAGAGCGAGATTCCGTCTCAAAAAACAAAAAACCAAAAAAACAAAAAAAAAGAAGTAACAGATAAGATCATTGTTGAGACAAAACTCTTTGGCGCAATCACAGCTCACCTTCGGCATCCAAAGTCCTGGGCTCGAGCAATCCTCCTGCTTCATGCTCCTAAGTAGCTAGGACTGCAGGTACACAACACCACACCCAGCTATTCTTTTTTATTTTTGGTAGACACAGGGTCTCACTACATTGCCCAGTCTGGTCTCAAATTACTGGCCTCAAGCAATCCTCCCACTTTGGTCTCTCTAAATGCTGGGATCACAGGTGTGAGCCACTGCCCCCAGCCCAGAATTTAATCTTTGAGGAAAAGTTTGAGAGGATTTGTATTCAAGAAACTGTGCAACTGAGTCCCATTTTCTGGTGAGTTAATGAGATTTTTTTCCCAGAATCAGAGTATAACTAAACATTATATATGAGCTTTTGCATCTTCATTTACCAATCTCTTAAAGAAAATTCAGTTTAATTACTAAATACATGATCAAACATCTCCTGTATTTTTCCTGATAAGGATAGACAAAGAGAAAGACTGTTAATTCATGCATAAAGACTTTGCAGAAAATTAGACAAAATTTAAGTTTTGAAAACT